AGTCGCAATACCGTGCCCCTGCATCCACGTCACAGGCCTACAGTGATCTTGGCGCAAGAACAATACAGTCTCTACCAGCCCTAAGGTTGCTGTGATGTGTTAAGCCGCAATTCCAGTCCCACAATGATGACAACTCCAGGCCCAGTGATTTCAGCTCTTTCAGTTCTAGACCCACAAGCTTTATTTTACTGCCAGCTCTCTTCTCTTTGCTCCAGCTCAGTGTCCCATTCCATGATTACTCTTCAAATCCACAGTATGTATCTATTGTAGCCATGACTGTTGCAGCAGCACTGCAGTCTCCACCCCGTCCCCATTGATTTCAGCTCTAGTCCCACAAGCTTTATTTCACTGCCAGCTCTTGTTTTGCACTTCCTTCTAAACGTCTTCGCAGCAGTGCCACACAATACTACCTTTGCTTCTCAGGACATGAGCTTTGTTTTAGCTCTAGTTCTTGAGCTCAGAGTACAGCCCTTAACAGCAATTTCAGTTCCAACCATGTAGTTCACCTCCCCGCTCCACAATCCTTATCCCAGCCCCACAGGGGTTTTACCCCAAACCCTACCATATTTCTGTCTCCTCCAGCTCTGCTGTCTCAGCTCCAGCTCTTCAGCTTCCTACTGGCTGCAGCTAAAAGCTGCTCATGCTTCTCACTGCAGCTTGGGGCTGTTGATAAGGCCACATATCAGTTACTGCCATCATTTTAATTTCAGTATCTCTAGAAGCTGTCCCATCCACCCACCCACCCCAGTGGCATCCCAACTATGGGGACACTGGATGCCTGAAGCTCAACATCCACCTTCCCCCTCACCCAGGCTCTCAGCCCAGCACCTGCACAAAGGCGCCCTCACCTCCCCTCAGGCAGCTCCAGGGGCTGGGAATAGCCACTGGACTCCTGCTCCCCCATCCCAAAAGGCACTCTTGGGCTCGTTCTTGGGCCCTAGAACCCTCTGAGCCCCCACACCCTCAGCCCCTCATTGGTACCACAGGGCAGGGGCTGGGAACCCCCAGGCATAACCTGCAGGCCCTGTGCTGCAGCTCCATGCCTTCCTCCCATGGCATTTATCTAGCCTCAGCATTTCCACTACTCCTCGTTGTTTTGGGCCTGACTCATGCCAAAGTCATTATTCCACACCCTGGGGATTTATGTCCCCACTGCTCTCACAACTAGTGTTTCAGCCCCAGTCCCACAATCCTTACTGAATTAACATGAGATATCTAGTAAAGAAAACAAATCAAACAAAAAAGATGTATTGAAACGGGCAACAATAAAATAACACAATAAAGAAAAAAAAATTACAAGTAAAAACAAAATAAAGTAATAAAAATGCAAAGAGCAAGCTTTATTCCTCATATTCTGAACATTTCTTTAAATCCAGAAACGGCGAAACGGCTACTTCCCAGCCCACAGTGACAGCATGCGGCCCCCC